TTCCATGGAGATAAGGTTGCGAGTTTTTTTATTCAGGAATTTTAAAGGTTATAAAATGATTGGGGTCGTTCGGAAGTCATAAGATGCTGCCCCAGATGGGTCCCTGGAGAAATTCTATAATCACATCTTGAATTGTTATGGCTTAGTTCGCTGCGGACGAATGGCGTGTCGGACAGGGTGAGTCTGGCACATTTTCAAAATCGTTCCGCACCTGTTGTTAAGGCGAGCAAGTGGCGAGGCTGTATAATATCGTTCATATCAGCCGTTTTCCGTCTATCATTGTCGTATATCCGCTTCAATGACTGGCAGAGAACGGGTTTGGCGCCGTGGCATACTCATACTGCCTGACACTCCCCTTCATCCGCAGCGAACCAGAGTATATCATGAATGGAACTTCTCTTTACACAGGAGTTCATTTTCTTTCTAATTCAGGCTGCGTTCATACTTCTGCTTGAACGCACCCCTAGTATTGCGTCAGCGTTTGGAGCCAACGGCAGCGTTTTGAATGTACACCGCCTTTGAGAGTTTCGACAGCCCTTGAAAACGCTAGCATACGCTCAACTAGATCGATACTCATACTTTCCCAGTCACTCAGAAGCTGCCGTACGCTTGAGAAGTTGACCCAATGTATGAGACGCACCCTTAGTATTTTGGTGTGCGCGCTCTTTGACTGTAACTTTATGCATTCTACCTGAATGTCTTAGTTGGTTATTTCTCTCCTCGAATACTCCCTGTACTTGCTTCGTCAATATCAACTCAGTCGTGCCGCAAAGGCTGAGGAAGCAAATGGTTTTCACAGTGAGTAGGAGGCGAAAACAAACCATCATTGTTTTACCTAGGACTTTATTTTTACTAGAGCGTCTCTTTCCACGCATTTCTCTTTCTTCTTTGCAATTTAACGCGTGTATTTATATCATTACTGAGGCCGCCCATTTTGCGAAACTGGAGGAAAGTATTCATATTGAATCTAGCGGGTGCGATATTAGATTACCGGTGGCGTGGCGCACAAGGGCCGAGGCATCGATGCGGATGAGTCTATAATGAATTCTAATTAGTCTACATTAGCTTCAGCAATTCGTCCCGAGCTTGAAGATGGTAGTTTCTCTCTTGTTCAAGAGCTATCGAACTGCTTCCACCTGAACTTATAATTTCCACAACGAAGAAATAAATTAGATTGGAAATTTATGCTTTCTACTAAGGTAGACATCTGACAGATGCAAAGAAATGGCTGCGAGGTCTTACGTATGACCGGCGGTCAAATGGAATCTAACATCGATTTACCGATGCTTCGCAAGGGCGGTGGAATGTTTAACACAGGAACGGAGTTCCCAGTAATAATCTATGGCGGGAAAAGTTCGCTGGAGACGGTCACCCACAGCGTCATATGTCGAAGCCTTGTCCACTATGGCCACGCCCATCCAGGGGCTCTCGGATCTTCAGTAGGAAAAGCATGAACGCAGCCTAAAATGCGTCACTCTAACAATAAAATGCTAGACGCTTGAAACCAAATGACGCATTCGAATTCTGTGCCCATTAGGTTCTAATCGTAGGGCCTAATTACTCCATTAGTTTAGTTTATAGTTTCAGATGCGTGTTCACCCTGATGTTGGTACAAACGCTGGAGGGACTAAATGTGCTCAAGGCCGTTCTCGCTGGAAATCAGCAAAATCGCTCAGGCAATGATAACTTCTTCTGCAACAGGCTGTCTGATCACGTATTTTCTTCCATCGCTGGGCGGTCAACATTTTCACTGTTCGAGCCCAGCGTACAGGATCAGGTTAGGTTTATGCTGGAAAACTTTGTTGTTGTGTATCGCCAGAAAGACTTAAGTTTCATACTTGTTTTTTTGCGCCTATGTTCTGCAGCGTACATCGCCCTTAATGAGTTCTTAGGAAGGTGATGGTTTTTCAGTCGCTTGGAGCACATTTGATTCTCTGAGAGTTTTACCATAGATCCAACACTGGAGAAGATTAAACTAATCAGAATCGCAGTATTAGTATTAGTAGAATGGCACACCAGGAGAAAGCATCAAGGTTTTAATGGGCGAATCAGAAGAAAGGGTGGCGATATTGAAATAGAATCGTCACGCTTCGATAACATTATACTTTAACGTGGGCGGACCCAATGTTCGATCTTTCTCTATCCCGCAAACTAGTTCTGATGCTATGTCCCCTCCCCATAACCCAAATTGGTGATGTAGGTAACTACCTCTTGGGTTGAAGCAGGTCGCAAAATGGGGGAGGGGGAGGGGAGCGATGATAATGGAGGCTTCGGCTGTTTCAGCGACCAGTGTTCCCTTTCAGCCATACACTCACCATCACTGGTGTTTTTGGGGCTGGGACGCTCAACTCAAATTAATTTTTTAAAAAGTCGCGGTATTGTATTGATTTCTTAATGTAAAAAATTTCACATTGCTACACTAGAAACTTTTTACTACCGAATGTTTATTACAAGCACGCCTAGTTATTGGGCATGGGTTGGGCCTCAGGGCGCGAGTCGAACGTTTAACTTGGTGACGTGTGAGTGCTGTAAGGCTACGGCATAAAAGCCGTTAAGCTGAGAGGGTAAAAGCGGCCCTGGTGGCGTAACGGATAGCGCACTCGCCCGGAAAGCGTGAGGTGCAGGTTCGACTCGCCGCCTGAGGTTCAACTTTTGCCCATGCATTCTTGTGATAACATTGGGAACGCGAACTGCGGCGTTAAACAGCAGTTATCATAACAAAACAACTTTTATTCCATCATGAAGACTTCCATTAATGTGGAACACTTTTCAGGATTTGTAACAACGATTTCGTGCAGCTCAAAGACGTCATGCGCGCTACTGGAAACGGCCTAAAATAACGGCTTTGAACGGCACGTTTACGACTTCGGAAGAACCTCAACGCACCAGTACCTCACCCTCCCCGGCGGAACCAACGTCACACTGTTACTGTGACAGATGCTGTGAATTTCTTGACGAACAGGCGGACGCACTCGTTCAGAAGCACAGAAAACTAAACGGATTGCATATAGTAGGATCGTTTTCGATACTCGCTGAATGTTAGCTTTTTCTTAGCCTACTTTCGATTTCCTCAAATTTCGAGTAGCTTCGTGTTTGCACGATGTTTGTACATGTTTATTGTTGATACATGTGCTCATTTAATAAATCAGTTTTCAACATTATGTTCTGTCCAGACTTCTTCACTTTTTGTGGTTTGTACTATTGCTCATTCATTATTATAAAAGTGATTCAAATAATATCAGTAGCTGGATGAGATCACCGCAGTCATTGCTCCTGTTGTTCAAAAGGAGGCACTCCTATATCACAACACCGATTTTTTACGCCAATGCCGGTGGGTAATTTCCTCTTACTGCTCCGTCGGTAAGCCCTAACTTCAGAGATAAATACTTTTACTTGAAGCACCTCACATTGGACATCTTTACACCGCTGTCCTGTCAGACGCTGCTAGTCGTTGGCAGAAGTTGAGAGATCCGGACGGTGTCCATACATTTGTCTCAGGCACTGATGAACATGGAATCAAGGTGATGTTTCCTGCATGTTAATCTTCTTAACACTAACACAGGTTGAGGGGCACGAGGCTGTGGCGACTCTAGTCCTTT